CACCTGTGGGGTCCCCCCTCCCGAGCAGCACTCGGGCACCAGAGGGGGACGGGCCCCTTCTTAGGGAAATGAGAGGGTCCCCCCCTTCCCAACCCTCACACCGGGCACTGAGTGGGATTGGGATTTTTCTCACCTGCCATGTCCTGGGCACCTGTGGGGTTCCCCCTCCCGAGTATCACCCCGGGCACCCAGTGGGATTTGCTCCCTTTTTTCCGGGCACCTGTGGGGTCTCCTCTCCCGGGCATCACTCCGGGCACTGTGGGGTCCCCCCTTCCTGGGCCCTGATGGGTGATCCCCTCCCCAGCCTCACTCCGGGCACCCAGTGGGATTTCCCTCCCCTTTTCCCAGGCACTTGTGGGGTCCCCCCTCCCCAGCATCACTCCAGGCACCAGAGGGGGGTCCCTCCTTTCCTGGGCACTGCCAAGTCCCTCTTCCCAACCCTCACACCGGGTAATGAGTGGGATTGGGATTTCTTTCCCCCTCTTCCAAGTATCACTCTGGGCACTGAGTGGGATTTCCCCCCCCTTTTCCCGGGCACCTGTGGGGTCTCCCCTCCCCAGCCTCACTCCGGGCACTGTGGGATCCACCTCCCCAACCCTCACAGCAGGCACTGAGCGGGATTTTTCCCCCCACACCATTTCCCAGGCACGGGTGGGGTCCCCCCTCCCCAACATCCCTTGGTTCCCACCCTGGGAACTCTGTGTCCCTGTCCCTTGTGGGGTTTGGGGACCGGGGTGTCACCCCCCACACAGCAGCACCTGCTTGTCCTGGGATGCCGAGCCCAGGCAGGACATGGGGCTGGATGTGATTATTCCAACCTCTCCCACAGACATTCCCAAGGCCACGGATTCCCCCGGCGGGCTCCTGTGCGACCGGCACTGCTCCACCACCATCAACAACGATCCTGGGCGACTGGGCTGTCACGTGCACCGGCCCTGCGCCCCAGGGTAGGTGGGACAGGGGTGCGGCGGGTCACCTGACGCCCCGTGTGCCCCCGTGACCCCCGTGTGCCCCCCAGCCACGCCCGAGGAGTGTGAGAGCTGCACCAGGACCACCCTGACGGCCGAGAACGCCGTGGAGGCCAACAAGCTCTCCAACAACTACAAGGTGGGTGCCTGTGGGGGCCAGGGCTTCTCCCCGGGGGTGTGATGGGCTGGCTTCTTCTCCACCCACCCCAAAAAACCCCCCCTCCCTCCACAGTTTGGCTTCAAGAAGTGGAAGAGCCACGTGACGGCGCGGCCCTGGGAGGAGCGCTCCGACATCGTCAAGGAGCTCTACTCCGACCTCACCGCGCTCCGGGGCCCTGCAGGTGAGGGCAGGGGGCAGCCCCGTGGGTTTGGGGGGGCTGCAGGTGCCAGTGGGTCCCAGCTGTGCCCCCCTATCCCCGCAGGGTCCACGGTGACGTGTGGGAACGTCCTGTACCTGCTGCTCTTCGGCTGGTGGCTCTCGCTGCTGCACGGCCTGGTGGCCGCCGGCATGTTCCTCACCGTCGTGGGGGCTCCTCACGGTGAGTCCCAAATCTGGGAAGGGCTGGGGGAGCCGTGGGTGTCCTGGCCGAGCTCACAACAGCGTGGGGGCCTCCTGTGTCCCTTCTCCCTGGAGCTGGAGGGGACACGAGTGTCCCTGGTGTCCCCCCAGGGCGGCTCTGCTGGGACCTGGCCGGGTATTTCCTGTGGCCCTTCGGCAAGGTGATCCAGAAGGTGGAGGTGAGGGCTCATCCCGAATCCCAGGGGGTGGGTGGGGTGTGCTGTGCCACGCCCTGACACCCCCCTGTGTCCCCCAGGTGCCCAAATCCCAGGAGGCTGGCACGGGGGAGAGCTCGGCCCTGCTGGGGGGTCCCACCCCAGGCCGCTGGCGCCCGCGGTGC